CCACTGCCAGGAACCCCCCGTGCCCACTGCCAGGAACCCCCCATGCCCACTGCCAGGAACCCCCCGTGCCCACTGCCAGGAACCCCCGGCGCCCCGAGGTCCTTCCGCTCGCACCGGCCGGGCGAGCCCCGAGCGTCGCTGCTGCTCCTCCAACGGCCCCGCCAGCTTCAGGGCGGGCAGCAGCCCTTGGCCGGGCCGCGTGTGCCAGAGGCTGGGGTGAGCTGCCTTGCGCCTTTGCCCTCCCGTCTGGGCTTCGAGAAGTACGTGACGTGCCCGTTCTGCCGTTCCCAGAGGGGGCGCGGCCGGGCAGCTCCCCGAGTCACATCGGGAACCGGGCGCCAGCCCTGCTCTCCTCTCCGCGCGGCCCCGCCCCCCCAAGCCGCCCCTTGTCCTCCGCGTCCACCCGCAGTGGACAGTGCTGCTGTGCTTCCTGGTGGTGGCCGGGAGGGAAACACACAGCCGTTTATTTTTTGCCCTTTCCGCTGTGCAGAAGGCCAAGGGGCAGGAGCCCTCCCGGGCGCGGGCACGCCCAGGGCTGCGGCGCGCGGCGGCCAGGGCCGGGCCCCCTGGCAGGGCGTTCTCTGGTGCCAACACTACCCGCGACGGCGGCGGCCTCGGGCGCGCGGTTGCCATGGAAACCTGGTCCTGATTGGGAAAAGGTGGTTGCAGGGCCTCACCCAGACACAGAAGGAGAGACGGTCCTTTCCCTGGGCTCCCTCGCCCCCGTTGTTCTCATCATGAAGGGGAGGAACGGAAAGGAGGACACGCTGGTGGGAGGCCCCTCCGGCCCGGGAGTGGTGGGGCCTTCAGATCCCGGCAGCAGCAGCGGAGGAGAACAGACAAGGTCCCCAGCCAGAGTACCCGTGACGGCCGGCTAATTAAGGGGCTTTGACCGAGCGGCGGGGGGGCGCCACAAAGCGGGTGAGGCCGCCGAGGCCTGGGGCGCTCAGGGGCCTGTCCGGCGTGTGCGGCCGGGGCCTGACTGGCGGAGAGAAACCCAGGCCCACCGAGGCGGCGCGTAGCTGAGGGCTCGGGCCAGAGAACGCTAGTCCGTGCTCCATTTGGGCAGCGATTTCAAAATCGCTTATCCCTGTGTTTGTCGTACGGCTTATCAGACGCTCGCGCCCGGGGCGTCTGCAGCAATACCCTGCCTTCGCCCGCCCTCGCCCGAGGCCCGGGCTGTGTGCCAGAGCCCACACTCACGTGGGGGGAAGGCGCCGTCTGCTGCTTGGGGCAGGTGCCGCAGTTACAGGTCGCTCTCAGGAGGGGCCCCGAAGCCACAGGGTCGCCTGGCCGCTCCCTGTCCCCATCTCTCACATGCTCTCGGATGCCAGCAGTCCTGGGCACCGCGTGGGCACACAGCTGGCTGTGCACCAGCCACCGACACGCAGCCAGGACTCTGCCTTGCGTGCACACCCTCGGGGTGAGTGAGCACGAGAAGCGGGTGTGTGTCCAGACAGGATGTTTCTAGAAACACTGTCGATTCCAAAACCCGAGCTGGTTGGTGTGTGGGAAGATGGCCTGTGTCCAGCGACAGCCGGGTGAGGCCGCCCGCGGTGGCGCACGGCACAGTGGGCTCTGGCAGGTGTGCAGAACACCCGTGAACGGCTCCGCAGGGGGCCGGCTGCAGGCGGGTGGCCTGGGGACACCGAGCCTGCGCGTGGCCAGGACGGCTGGGCAGCTGTTCCGCAGCTTTGCAATGAAGTCGCCCGGGAGCAGGACACGCCGCGTCACCGGCAGGCACGGCCGTCCCGCAGGCGGGGTCGCGGCTCCTGGTCTGTGGGAACTCAGAGCGCTCTGGCGGAAGGAGAGAGGACCTTGCCCGGCGGGGACAGGGACTCCGGCTGGGCGCCGGGCAGACGCACGACCCCGTGATGCCAGAATCGGGCGCCATGTGATTCCTCTCGTCTGGGCCAGGCTCCGCAGAAGCTTCTTCTGTCCTCCCGAGGAGAGGAGCTACAGGGAGAAATTGCAGTGAGAATAGGTTTTCCTTCCAGACTGTTCTAACACTCTTCAAATTCAGTGCAGTGCCATCTGGGAGGTCTGCACGGGTCATTCCGTCCAAGTTGACTTAACCTTGGGTGAGTTAAATGATACACGTGGCCTTTCGGGGGAGACTTGGCCTCCCACGCTGAAGTCAAAGGCGAGTCACGGTGGCTGAGGCTCTTGTTGTCTCCTCACGTTTCCCCGGAAACGTGTCTCCCCCACACGCCCGCACACTCGCTTAAAGGTGTTTTAAATGTGAAC